ACGCGCCTCAAAGCAGAGAGGGTAAAGGCAGGGCCAGCAGGGCTGGCAGGGGCAGCAGGGCTAGAGTCATTTTCTCACGTGTGGAGATCAAGTTGTTTCACGTGCAGAAGCCGACTTCATCTGAGATTGGCTGAACCTGCAGGCGAGAGAAGAAGAGCTCAAGGTGGCAAAAGCAGACCTCTTGGGTTGCTTTGGTTGTTCTTGAGTGGTTAATTTAACTTGATTTAACTTGCTTGCCAGGAAAAGGGAAAGGCAAGAGCCAAGGCAAAAAAGGCAGCTTTCTGCGTTATCTCCTTTCACACGTATTGAAGAGCATGTTGTCTATGCTCGGTAGATTGGCGGGAAGCTGAATGGCGGGAAGCTCACAATCCAGAAGCCGAAGCCAACGATTCACAGGTGCCACAAATGCTGACAGCTCACTTTGTTTCTTTTGCAAACATGTTCCACAAGTTGCGCATGTTGCTTATTTGTTTGGAGCTTGTGTGCACAGAACTTTACATGGTGTGGCAATGTGGGACACCTTTCTGCCACATTTTTAGGTAACTCCTACCTGATTCCCAATATCAGCGCATATTCATATTGCTTTTTGCAACACTTTTCCACAAGTTGATTTGCTTTAATTGGAATTGGCCTAGGATTGGCATGTTTTCGGTTTTCTTGGTTGTTGCTGATGTGAAAGGCTCGGAAGGAGCGGAGGGAGCGAAAAGCGCCAGAGCTAGTGCGTTTGGAAACTCCGCAGTACGATTCTGTGACTTGCTTGAATAACTTAAACACACGTAGTGAGCAGCGAGCGGTCTAAATCATCTGGATCATCTTAGATTGTGAAGCTACATTGCTGGTCCCGATGGATGTGCCTTCTTCGCTTCGACAGAGCCCCATGCAATGGCCCTTCGCTTCCACCATGATTCCGACCAAGGTAACAGAAAGGCTAGCAGATCAACTGTCCAAAGGAGTGGGCCCACTATTTGTCTTTATCGATGATTCTGTACTTGTTGCCGTCTGTGATTGAAGGTATTTCGTATTGCTTACATTCCTCAAAGTCATAGCCTGATTGGACATTCCACATCGCTGGCAGGATCCTACGACTGTATGATTTGCCTCAACAAGGCTGGAATGCAGCTTAACATTTAGTTGCTTTGTATTTTGGATTCCAAAAACGCCCAGCAAGTCACTGTCCAAGCAGAGTTATATGTTTTTGCACCAAGCCACAGGTGAAGCCGAGCCATCATATTTGGAGTTGCGATCAGTGTTGGGCGGTGTACTGACCTAAGGTGTTGGTCAAGCACATTTCCAATCAGCCACAGTAGATGGCATATTTGCTATTTCATCAAAACCTAATAGCGATGGCCTCCAACCTACTAGCAATGGCCTCCAACCTAGACGGCATATTGCTATTTCAAGAAAATAGTAGGCTTTGCTTGGCTTGTGCAAAATCCTTAGAAGACCGAAGACCGCTTTTGTTCTCGCGTAAAGCAAAGGTTTCATTTGAAGTGCATCAAGAGCTGGATCCAGCGTTGCAACAGTGCTGGTGGCCTCGAGTTTGACTGGGCATGCCCAGGCCACAAGCTCAGTCTTCTCTCTTTTGGCCATGCGCGTTGAGTGACTGAGAAGGTTGCCGCTACCATCGCGTTGAGCGGATGCCCGAGTGCTTCACAAAGCTTTTTAGGGGAATCGACTTGAAGCATTTTGGAAATCTATTGGAACCCATTTTTGAAGGGATTGAACAAGAAGCCGAAATCTACAATTGTCACCAGGTTCCAAAGGTTTGAACTTTGACCCAAGCTCTCCCCTGAAGGTACACCTGCTACTGCAAGAAGGTGCCTGAGCCAGAGCTGAATCCACACTGGCCCTTTGCTGCAAATGACTTGGGTTGAACGTGAGTGTCATCCTGGAGTGGTTTCTGTTGGTAATTCAACAATGCCTGCAACAACAGCGTAAAGCTGTTTTGTATTTTCAGCTATTCTCTCTACCTTAGCCACCGTACCCTGACAGGAAATTGGTGGTCATGCTATGGTATGGCTTGGCACATTATAGCGTTCATGTAATATAAAAAGGCATGATGTATCTTGGATCAGCTTGGTCATACAATACAGTGACGCGCACTTTGTTGGAAAGTGGACTTTCAGAAAGAGGCTTTCTGGTGTGACTTTAATAATATGCTGCTTCAGGAAATATATAGAGTGTTCTTGCACTTTTGTTCCAGAGCCTTGAGTGCACGGAAATTAAAGATTTGATACTGATACTATCCAGAATCTTGACTATGCCGCCAACGCTAGAATTGCTGCCCATGAGCCATCAAAGGGGTGGATGCTAGTGCATTTATGGTAGGTGTTCGAACCACAAGGACACAGGACTGGATGATATTAATACAGGTTTGGCTGATGTTTTCATTTCTTATTGAACATCCTTCAAAGGAGATTTACCTTTGAAAGCCGAAAGATAACTCTGCGATGAGACGCAAAAAAGCATCGTTTCACTCTCCTAAGGTTAGCCCACAGCTGCGGTGAGGCCGCACCGAGCAGGAACAAACCTTCACCGTAAGGTCCTTCAAAGTTTGCGCTACATGAAGTTTGCCTGTCCAACAAAGAAAGAGGAAGGTCCTAAGGATCTTGACAATCCTTGATTCCTTTTTTTGGCAGCTGCGTTTGATTCTTGGGTCTGGTTGTGTAGTCTGGACCTTGGGAAAGCAGGAAAAGTATGGTTTGGCCAAAAGACTCGTGTATTTTCTTTCGGTAAAACCAACCCTGTGAGAGGTCTGCGAAAAGGACAGAGGATGTGACCTTCTGAGTGATGCAGATGACGCTTTGATTTCTCGGTGCAACTCGGTGTGACGCTTCGAGGTCCACATCCCTGTCCAGAGCTTTGTCATCCAGGACCCTGTGCGAGGTGTACAGCTGCCAATGCCTTGGAACCTTTTTGGTTCACTGGACATTAACCATCATTAACCTATTCACTGGGCTCCCGTGTGTGACTGCCACTCAACATTTTGATACAGCTCCTTTGCGGTCTTGGCTAGGTGGGTGGTCCTGGCAGCTGTCACTGTGGCCGTGAGCAGACTGCAACAACAAGGCAGTGGAATGTCTGCATTTTCTTTGGTAGTGCAACGGAGTTCCCTTGTGGTAGCAAACAATTCATTTATATAACATGGCTACTAGAGCAGCATTGATTTCTCGGATCGCAACCGATCCCCATTGCTTTGTCTTCCCTCCTAGGCAACCTGTTCTTGCTTGTCAAATTGTGTGTTTTGCATCATCATGCCCTTGATCCGATTTTGCTTGAGCTCTCGCCTCATCCTGCCGCTTAGGGACAACCGTTTTTGGGCTCGGCAGGTGTGGTGACCCAAAGCAATGGTCCTGTGGTGCAGCTTGTGGGCAAGCACTCAGCTGTGGTACGAATCTCAGGCCACTTTGGCACTCTGTCTGTGCGTGAACTGCTCAGCACACACGCGAGGTCAGCATTCCTGCAAAGCAAGGCCCATTGGCGAAGTTGTTTATTACTATATTACTATTGTTCTTCCGGAAAGCACCTGTGAAGGATTCTCCGTAAAGAATGGCTGCCAACTTCAACTGTCCAACCATCATCATCATCATCATCATCATCAGAGGTTGCGTTGACCCCCTTCATCCAGGGACAGGTCTGTACTGGCCACCACGCGTGACTTCTCAAGCTGCAGTGCCAAGGCTGAAGTCGAGGTTCGTGCTTGGTCTATCTGCAGCTCTCGAAGAAACTTGTGAAGCATCCCAAAATTCCGTAAGCACGGGCAAGTATGGTCATCCATGCACACACACACTCTCGAAAGTATGGCTGGCAGGCACAGAATCCGCTCTGTGCACTGTGCGAGATCCAAGAGCGAGGCGGAAGCTCAAAGGAGCGGGCGCCGAAGGTGGAGCTAGTGGTGCCGGCAAGCATCTTGCTCTGGTGCCCCAACCCTACATCATCCCGAGCTCTCAGACCGTCACTCCATGTACCACATCGCCTGCGCACTCAGACGGTTGCGCTTGTGAGCGGCGGTGCGGACTGACTACTTTCAATCAATCAAACATTTCTTGCGCGCTCCACGGTTCTTTCAATGACTGTGGCAAGTCCAACAAAAGCGGCGCAAAAGGTTGTGCTGTACTGTGCGCGTTGGTATGCACCCACGGGCCAACAATCAACTAAGCCACGCTGACCGACTGCAACTTGCTGTGACAGCGTGACTATGTCGTTTGTTTACCTCGTTTCTTCAATGTTATGCCTTCTCCGAGGTGGCTGCACCTGGCGCCCTACTCTTCTCAGTGCAGCAGTTGTCTGCAGCATGGTGTAACGCCTCTATCAAAGGCTGCGATCGACAAGAACGTCCGGCTGCTGTGATTGGAGCACTGTCTAAGGACCTCTGTCATGCTTGTTTTGCGTAACTTTTTCATCCTCCTCATCGTCACCATTTTCTTTCATCTCTTGCTGTGTTTTCCGGCCTCCCTGTCGTTTGGTTACCTTTTGTTTGGAGTTGCAGTGTGTTGTGCTTCTTGCTGTCCCTGCTTTGCACGACTTTCTGGGCGCTAACGTGAGTCGCTAGGTGCCATGCAGGGCCGTGCCCACCGTGTACGGAAGCCTCAGAAGAAAGCTGCTACTGCGGCAAAGCACAGGCTGGAAGAAGTCACGCAAGCTAGCGTCAGCAAACTGGAGTTGCTCTTGTTTTTGGCTGATAGCGCCTACCACGTTAATACATCACTGCCAGGGGCTCCTGATTCCCCCGAATTTGATTTTTTCCTTCCCTGCTTGCTCCGTTTTTTTTTTCCTCACCTTGCCTTGCTAGATCTCAATAGTTTCAATAGATTTCATCACCAACCCCTGCTTCAAGTTTTGGTAAGCTTTTTGGGTAAGGCTTGCCAAAGCAAAGTGATTCAGCCAGGAATGGCGACGTTGTGGACATTCAGAGTTCTCCTGTCACAAGCCTTGTGGCAAACTCTTGGATTGCCAGGACTTGAAATTTTATCCTATGTATTTTGAGCTGAATATTCCTTGACAACTCAATTTTACCAACATTTTGTTGCTGTACCTGACTGCTCAAGCCATTGCGGCCTCAATCACAGGCACTTTTTGCAGCCATGTCCCGATTTGTTTTTGTTCTTTCTGCTCTTCTTAGCACTTGCATTGGATTTGCATCCGCTGCTCAGCCTGACTAACGGTATTCCATGAATTTTGTGCAAAGGAAACCCCGAGACATTCAGCCTCACATTATGTTCATAGCTGCGAGCTGTTTTTTGCAAACAATTGGTAGGATGAAACTGCAAGGATTTGGATGCCTTGGATTTTGACGATGCCTGTGGAAAAGACTGCACCTTATCTTTGCGTCAACTCCGCGGCGTGCCAGGGGAAAGTGACAACACTGCTGACGAGGGCGCAACAGTTGAAGAGGGAAAAAACAGTGCTCAAGAGGGAGAGATAGTTGGGCCTGCGCTGAAAGAGACACCAGGCAAGTCCGAATCAGAGGCAACTTTACCCGAAGCACCGGCTGATCATGCCACTGCAGATGCAGAGATCGTTTCGGAGGCCGAAGATGTTGCAGATGCGGAGTCGGAGCATCCAAAGCCCTCAATTAGCAAGGTCAATGAGACAAAGTTGTAGGAGAAGAGGGAACATGAAGAGGGTGGTACCTGCTGCTTCAGTGGGGAGAGCACCAAGGACACCTGTGGAACTTGCTATCCCATGTCAATTGCCTCATACAAAAGCAAGTGCTCGAAGAAGAACGAGTGTGCCTTGTCAACCACTGCTGTCTTGTCCTCTTTCATAGATTTGTTTGACATCTTACGACTTACCAATTTTCATCAGGTGGACATTGCGGTGGGACTTGGTGTCCCTCAAAATGCGCTGAATCCTGAGACATGTGCCGATGTGCTTCCTGTTCTCAGCAACGTGCGGACAACACATCTCCCTCTTTCAGGTTATTGGTGCCGCAGATCCTTTCAACAAGTGTGGGACTGCGTATCCTACCGGGATCTCCAGCGGCGGGCTCAAGGAGCTCAAGGCTCCACAGAGCGTCACCAGGGGGGATCCATGTTTGGATGTCTCACAAGATCTCACAATCACTCACGTCAGTGTCAAATTGTATTCGTGTCACTCACTTTGACCTCAAATTTAGGCGATCCCTTTTGCTCCGGCAAGGATGCATGCAAGAGCTGCAATGGCGCAACCCGGTTGAAGGTTTTTGCCGAGAGGCTTCTGATTCAAATTGGTTTGGACTTGTCCAGCTTGACTCCGAGGAATGGTGCCGTGCAGGCTACAACTCGCATTTTACCATTGTCGAGGACGCGGAACTTTCAGACTTGCCTCCAAGCCTGTTTTTACGTGGTCAAGCGCATTAGATGGACTTGGATGGACAGATACAGCAGTTGACAAAAAGGAACGGTTTTGTATTGTATCAGTTTGATACTTGATACTTGCTCCCTGCTTTTCACCAATTGTATACTTCCTGAAACGAGAGAACTTGGACTTGTGGGTTGCAACACTGAGTGTGTACCCAATGTGAACATCCAGGGCAACCATGGTCGGGAAGTGCCAGAGTATGTTCCACCTGAAGATGAAACATTGGGCATTTGCTGCTATCGTGGCAAATTGGGAAGTGCCAAAGACATGTGCCTTGGCCCTTGGCATTCCCAGATTACTCAAGGCCTTTTCCCAGGGGAAGTATGTGAACTGCTTTGATTCAGTCCTATCAAGTCCAAGAAGCCTAGTGAGTCTTCATTAATATACAGTATGCATGAAATTATTTGCAAGCAGTATACATGCACAGGCAAACATAAGCTTCATGCAAGCCGCTCTTGTTAATTCTAAGGTGCGGCGCATGTGCAGATGTGGCCAAGGACTCCACTCAGACGAACCACTTATTGTCAAGAAGGAAGAAAGATTAAAGAAGGAAGGAAGGTAGAGGTTTATGCTCCCTCTTGAAAGGGTGGTTCTATAGCTTCTCTCTCTCTCTATATTATATATATCATATCGGTACCGGTCCGTAGCTTTCCCTTTTTTCGTTCTCTTTCGCCAAGGACTCCACTTGCTCAGTGAAGAGCCGGTGCGCTGGCTGCGGCGGCACCTGGTGTCCAGGGCCCAGGTGCAGCAGTGCACTCGACATGGGCTTGAATGAGCTGTAGCGATTTGACAACTTTTTTCGGTTCTTAAAGTCTCGAACAAAGTGGTCAAATGAAAGTGTGTGGTTTGAGTCATATTTCTTCTCAGACTTGTTGGCCTTTCCCTGTTTTCTATCATTTGTCGACATAGATTGAGCTCACCTGAAGGTAAAACGATCTCAGCAAACAGACTTGCGTGTTTTCAGATGGGGAATAACTTGCATATTGCTCAGATCATTTCACAGCGCTTGACATGCTGGGCACAATTCACGATTCAAGCGGAAATACACTTGAGATCACTTGAGCCAGTTAGTCTTTAATAGGCGGGTCGTACTCCCTGGTTTAGCAGGGAGCGAGACAATACAGAGTCACTCTGTCAACCAATCACAATGGCTTTGATAACACTTTTCGACCGCAGTTCACTTGCTTGAGAGACCGCGTTTCGTGTTTTGTTTTGGCCAGCGTGCTGGAGAGGTGTGTGAAGTCGTTTGCTGATAAGAAGAATCCGTGTGGGTCCGCATACCCCTACACTGGAATTGCGAAGCAAGGTGCAATTCGATTGAACGCATGCCAGTGAGTGAAGTGTAGTTCAGTCTTCTGAGTTTCCTTGGCCACAGATGACTATTGCGCATTGGATGAGAAGCAGTGCATCCGCCTTAGCTCCAGCTGTGTTGGTGGCTCGCCTTGTTGATGGCTACATTGATTTCCAAGGCTCTAGCTGCAAAGGGGCATGGTGTGAGCCAGGGAACATTACGCATCTCGGCTCCGGTCAGCTGCCGAAGTCTGCATGTAGAGTCTGCTCCATGCTTCATGTGTAGAGTCGGCTCCTGATCCCAGGTATGACTGGAGACCATCGCTAGTAGGTGCTACTACTGAAATTTTGGCTACCAGGGTGGAAGCCATCGCTAGTAGGGTGAAGGCCATCGCTAGTAGGTTGGAGGCCATCGCTAGTAGGTTGCAGGCCATCGCTACTGGGGTGAAGGCCATCGCTAGTAGGTTGGAGGCCATCGCGTTCATGGTGTTTCTCCTGATCCCAGGTACTCTGACGGGCAGAAGTATGACCCAAGCCATCCCTACATCTCTCCGACCGACCAACGACTAGAGCCGGACGACATGGGTGTGTTTGGCTGTGAGTGTCTACAGCTCTTGCACCCTTCCTGTTTTGCATCCTGCAAATGCTTTGTTTTTGTTTCAGGAGGACCCAGCGGAAACAGCAGAAGCTGAGAAGGAGGTGGCAAGTGATGATAGTACCTTAGAACAATTGAACGCTTGCTTCAATCATTTTCATGACTCTTGCATTTGTCACCAGCCCTTTTTGATGGCTACCTTTGACATGCCTACCATATCAATTCTTCAGCACAATGTCTCTAAGGCATCGAAGATCTCTTCCCAGATGGCTTAGCATGATATCACCAGGTCATACTTCTTGTTCATGGCCTACGTCCCTGAATGTCTGAGATTGATCGTGTTAATAGTTTTGGTGTGATGATGCTGCAAACAGTCAAACGCATCATATTTAATGGGGTTCAGAGCCCCGGCCAGTTTTCCTCCTAGCTTGCAGTTGCTTGAGTCCCTTGACTCCTGTCTGCAGGGAACTCCCCTTTTGCTGGTAGCAGGTGTTGACAGAACGACACCTTTCTGCCTTGAATTTCATAGATGCCATACATTTGGCGAGCCTGTTTTGCAACTGCGGGCTTGCAGTACAGAACAGCCGAAATGCTTCATTATCCAAACATGATCAAACATGCAAAGGATAAAGATGGCCGTTTAAAGATGGCCGTTTCGCTTGCCACTGACAATGATGCCTAGGGAAGTTGAATACCACCAAGCTATAGTGTCCAGGAGCATTTCTGTGAAAGGGAATGCCATTCTGGTGACTGCGGCTTGTGCTGAGCTTGTGTGAAGAGTTTCAGCTTTGAGGGACTCATAGTTGGCAAGTGTAAGCATCATCAGTCGTGATTGACATTTAAAGAGCCAGATATCCCCACATGTCAAACTTTCCTTTGCGTTTGCGTCAAGAACGGGAACATTAAAGCGGATGGTAAGGGAGTGATAGCAGATGAGGCGAGACGGATTTGGATGGCGTGATGCGTAAGGGGTAAGGACGTGTGTGTGGAACCCTAGGAGCCACAGGTCTGTTAAATGGCGGGTGGCCACCAGGGTCAGCGGTGGCCAACGAAGACCTCCTCTGGGACCCGTGTAAGCGTACCCGCCAAACTGGTTTCCTGTTGTTCTCGCTGTGGTTTGCTTTCATGGTGGTTCATGTGGTTCTGCTACTAAACGTAACTCGCGTTTCGTGTTTTGACTGGCCTCCAACCCTGCTGTGAGTCTTGTCTCGCACGAAACCAACCTACTGGTGATGGCCCCCAACCCGTTGCGATGACCTCCCACCTAGATGCGCTGGCCTCAAACCCAAGAGCACTGGCCTAAGCCTTGACCTTTCCCAGTGATCAGACACCCGCCTTACATGTTTTATTAGGTTAAGAATTTTTTTCACCTAGGCAGCCGTGTGGCGTGAGGCATTCAGTTCAGTACGCAAGAGTGTGCGTGTACGTGTGCGTGTGCGTGTGCGTGTGTGTGTGTGTGTCCACCCCTGGACAAAGGGTTTTCCACCGCTACTCCTTCCACTGTTTTTCAACCACCTTTTTCGACCACCTTCTACAGGCAGGGGGGCAGAGAGGACTTGCAAAGCTCTGCCCAACGAAGCTCTTTGCAAGATCCTAGGAAGCGGAAGCTGATCACTTCCGTGTACCTGCTACCTGAACTTTTGACCACGCTGTCTAATTTGCTTTGTTTGATTCCATGGTTCTTCATGCTACCTACCCCCAAACCCATTTTCCCACCGCCGACATGCAGCTGACTTGCAGCAGCGCTGAGTGTCCGTTTCTTCGAGTGCACTTGCAAACATTGTTAAAACAATACCTTTTCACGGACTCTGCCACCTTGCCGTTCCATCGCCAATTGACCTGGGAATTTGAGTGTAACTGAATACCAATGTCAGAGTGTGTTTCGCTCAGCCGTCCCACTCGGGTGCTGAGTGTGATCCCCGTCACAGGGGCGCGGTTTTTTACATCGGAAAGCAACCAACCCAACATGCCACCTCTCACCGGATTTCCACTGGAAGTCATCGACGCCCCCTTTGAATCAACAGATGCATTGGCCGCCGGGCCTAAACACGGCAGCTTTCTCTCCCACCAGCTTTCGGATCAGTCATGCATTTTGTTTTCCACATGTTGCATTTTTAGATCGATGCCGTGACCTTTTCATCAGCAGAACTCAAGCTTGTACACTGGAGTTCTCCACTCTAATTCGAGATGCATGACCACACTTGACAACAAGCTCACACCCAGCTCAGCCTCACAACACACTCCCCGTCAACACGAGCGATGAGATTTTCAACATCACTATGGCAATACAACTTTGCATTTTTCAGCTGCATCCTTGCTGCTGCGCCGCGCCGTGCCATAGCGAAGCCTTTACTACACAGCGCTGTTTTTCACCACCGACGAGTCCGAGTACGTCATGCACTTTCCCTGGCCATATGCTCACGCCACACCACCACCACTACCTACTACACAACCTCAGCCCACATGGCCGCTGCCGCAGCCGCCAACTGCACCCACCTTTCCCTCACCACAACCATCGGCATTTCCTCATCCACAACCACAACCCTATCAAGCTCCACCTACTATGCCCATTCCAGCCCCTACTGCACTGTCCTACGGCACTCCTTCCACCTGGACGATTGTGCAACCATCCCAGCCGCCACCGCAACCCACACACCCAACCCCAGTGTTTCCATCCGCAGCACCTTCCCCTTCGTACATGTTGCCACAACTACATCCCACACCACCTGCAGAACCTACCCCCACCACGCAGATCCATCCACTTCCAGCACCACAACAAGCAACAGTTGCCCATCATCCATCCACAGACCCGCAATGCACCATCCCCCAGGGAGTTTGGCAACCTTACTCCGCTTTTCCCCCAGTCACACAACCTCCACCTCAACCTTTGCCTCCGCCGCCGCCTCCACAAGCAATCGGTGCTCCACCACCAGCTCAACCCTCACTCCCGCAACCGGCACCATCGGACCACACACCACCGGTCCAACATGTCACCACATCAGCCAAGGACCCTTCAGCACCGGTCCAAAACGAGACCATTTCAGCCACTGGCTCCCAACCATCCAAATCACCATCCATTGCATCAGCTCCACCAGCCCCTGCACCTTCAATACCTGCAACAGACAAGCCCGACAGCACCGCTTCACCGGCACCGCCGCCACCTTCCCCACAGCCACAACACAGCAGTCGCCGCCACCGCCACAAGAGCCGACGCAAGTCTGATCATCACCACCGAGGGCGCCACCACCACCGCCGCCGGCGTCGACATCACCGCCACTCAAAGCACCACAGCACAACCCGGCGACGCCGCTCGCCCTCAACATCCACTTACTCTTACAGCCCCACACCCTCCCGCAGCCGCTCCCCACAACCCATCGATTTGCGCCCCAACACCGACAACATCAACACCGACCCCTCTCAATACCCCACCACAGCAGTCCTTCGTCGCCCACTCAACCGCTGGCGACCTCCGCCCAACTTTCAAGCTCTTCCACCTACAGACCAACTTCTCGAATGGTTCGAATTCCACGCCAACCAACTCGACACCCCCAACCGACCACAGCACCAGTACATCGCCAATCTCCTCACCGACTGCAACATCACCTACAAAGAGATCACCGATTTCCGACAATATACCCACGCCAAGTGGAACGACACCACTCGCCAATACGACCAATTCCAATACAACGCCATCTCACTTCCCTTCCTCAACACAAAGGCCACCACACCTGAACCACCCGCGGTTTCCCGAGCCACCTCAACCCACCGGGAAGTCGCCCACATCAATGCTGGCCATACAGGCCCGGTCGGCAACATTGCCAACATTCTACGCCAAGGTCGGTTTCTACCGAGCACACGCCACTTTGCCAACTACCCTGGCTTTTTTGCCCAGGGCGTCCGCGTCACCCACACTCAACCCCACGACCAAAGCGAATTCGCTCGCATCATCCACAACACCTGGCCATCATCATCACACTCCTTGCCTGGGGTGCAGCCACAAAATACACCTCCGGGGGCGAGGAACACGCCATGACCCTCCTCAACGAGCACCACACCGCCGTTTTCCACCAGAAGGGCCGCTGCTGGGTGATTCACCCGGACCAGGCCATAGTCAAAGGACTGGCCTGGTCCACCAACTCCACTCCACCCGACATGTAACACCACTTTCCAACACCTCCACACCACTACCACCTCCACCTCCACATTTTGTCTCACACCACCACATAAACCTTAGCCTATAGCAGCGAAAAGACTTTTGCAGCGGTCACGCGACTTTTTGCGCCTTCAACTTTTCAAGCTTTGACGGTTTCATTCTGCAGAATATCATTCCGAATTTTTACCAGCTTTTCAGATGATGTCTTCTTCACATGTTGGAGTTCTTTGCCTTTGATCTTTCAATCGGACTATGCCCGCGGGAATTTGATGCTCGCTTAATTCATATGCATGGCCCCGTGATGACGTGCTCACGCTGACCAGCTGCCGTCCAGCTGCCTTGCCGCGCTGCCGCAGCAACCTGTGACTACCCTGTGTGACTGTACATCCCTCTACCTTTAAGTCATGAGCAGCACAGTGACACCTCCACACAATGACACCCAAACTCTTTTACATCAGACCACTGTGGCACTTTCGCAGGTCCAAAACCTGCTCAGACAAGCGACAGATATTGTAGCACACCTTCACACCCACTTTCTTCACCACATCCACCAAGCGGATCCCACTTTCCGCCAACATTTTCAGCCACTACCAATTCCACCAACTCACCCTATACGTTTACCGTCCACCACCTCCTCCTGTGACTCAGCACCATCTCGACCACCCATTCGCTTACCAGCGCCGCCCTCAAAAGACTCCGACGACACACCGTCAACAGCCCCAACCCCACAACCTGCTACAACACGCAAGCGAAAGCAGCCACCACCACCACCACTGAACCAGCAGGCAGACTGGGACGCATGGGATGGCGACGCTGATTGTCGCCTGGTTGAACTCAAAGGCAACCCTCGACTCCGTCCCAACTGGGTTTCTGTTGCTCGCCGAGTTGGTTTCTCCGTCGAGCAGTGCCAAGCCCGATGGCAAGAACTCAAAGACATGCAACATTTACAGGACCAACAACTTTCCTCCAAACCACCACAAGCAGATCCATCACGACAAGTACCTTCCCCCTCACCAACACCCACCTCACCAGCAGCTTCACCACCACCACCCTCACAACCGGATTTCTCCCCTTCTCCCAAGACAACGCCACCGACTTCACCACATCGATCACCTCCAGCTGATGTGCTGCCGCGGCCGGCTGCTGAGCGAGCGCCTAGTGAGAACAGTCATCCGGAGAAATCTCCAAACACGCCTGTTGGCAGTTATTTCATGTGATTCGTTTCACCCCCGCTTTCTCTCCGGCGTGCCACAGGACAAATCCTTTGACGTGCAGTGACAAGTTGTTTTCACTTCCCTTCTGCGTTCGCCATTCTTTGCTATTTGGAACCTTCAGTCTTTCATGTTTCCCAGGCTCACTCTAGCTGCGCCACTTTGTCCTATATTCTTGTACTCGCCTTCATGGCCAATCCTCGCGCTCGCCCACCTGTCAACACAGCAAACACAGAGTACTACTTGCCACAGCGCCCACCGAGCTGGCTCCAAC